GCAATTCAAAAGAATCTGAATTTGAAGGCTTAGATTCAAATGTTGGTTATGAGAAAAAGCAAGAGGTGTATAAATATAAACTCGTACTGCTCAAACTTAAAGTACCTATGACTTACTTTGGGGTTTTGGTATAATACAGAATCTGATTCAGTAGGTCAGGAGTGGGGCTCAAGGTTTTGTATTTCTAATAAGATTCCAGTCCAGGACCAATTAGGCAAGGTACTAGACTAAACTTTAGTTTACTATTCTCCCCATCACCCTATGCAGACACTAAATCGAAGACAGTTCTTAAATTGGATTTAAATTTACCTTCTTCTTATTTAAGAAAATAGTCATAAATTGAAAGAAATACATTTTCTCCCAAATCCCATAATTTTCCTCCATCTCCACCGCCACCTTAATCTGAGTTACCCTTTACCATGTAGCCGCCTAACTGGTTTCTCTACCTCTAGTCTTACCACCTCTTATTCATTCTCCAAACTAAAGAACTAAAATAAATCCTTCCAAAACTCAATCTGGTTACAATATTCTGCTGCTTAAATTTTTCAATAAATAAAACACCAAGTGCCATGGGGCCTGTATACACTGCCCACAGTAGCCACTGTGCCCTCCTCCGACACCTACACACACACATGCACACACACAATGACATTCAGTGAACACCAGTGAATTTCTTTCAAATGACCTTCCTCTCAAGCCTTTGTTCATGCTAGTCTTTTTGTCTAAACCTTCTTTCCTGGCTATCCCTCATGCATCTTTTAGGACTTAGATTAACCTCACTTCCTCTTAGAAGCCTTCTCTCCATCTCAGATTAGTCAGATGCATCAAACTTCCCTTTTAGTACTTACTAGACATTGTTATTGCTTATTTAACTGTCTTTCCTGCTCCGCTGTTAACTCAGTGAGAACAGGAACTGAGTTTATCTTTCTCTGCCTATGGCCAGTGCATGGCACACTGACTGGCAGCTAGTGGACACGTCAATCATCTTTCATTCTACATGCATTCATTAATATACTGACAAGGTATGATGATCTTTTTCTAGAATTTGTGCTGATTATATCTCTCTTCTGTCAATATATTCCTTCCTCCCACAGAAAAGATATAGCATGACTGACCAGGCCCAAGCTTTCAACTTGATAAAATCTTACTTTTCTGGAAAACTTGATTATAATTTATTTGATACTCATTGTCAACAAATAATAAGTACCACTTATTTTGCAATGAATAAATAAACAATGTTAGGCACTAGGGGAAAATAAATATGGGAAGAAGACTGAAAACCAAAAGGCAGAACTAATGGAGATTAAAGTCATATAAATAGACAACAGCTATGAAACTGGTATAAAAATCAAAAGTATAAACAAGACGCTAAATTAGCAAAGACACAGAGCATATATTTGGCTTCCGTAGTTGAGAAAAGCCTCTCCAAGGAAGGTACAGTGTCTTTGAGGATAAGCAGAAATTTGCCAGCTGGAAGGGAAAGTCATTCTCGGCAAAAGAAATAGTGTACAAAAGCACGATTTAAAGAGTACTATGTGTAAAGACTCTATAGAATTGTGGGAGATGATGCTGGAAAGGTAGATGAGACTTTAAAAAAAAAAAAGGGACTTTGTTCTCCAAGATGAGAAGCTTGGGCTTCGTTCAGTAAGAATAAGAAAAACAGATACATTTCAAGCAGAAGCGTGGCATAATCAAAGGAACGTTTCAAAAAACACACTTCATAGCAGCGTGGATACACTGAAGGAGGCAAGAGTACAAGCAGGAAGATGAGAGAATAGTGCAAGCAAAGAATGAGAAGAGGTAACACAGCAGCAATGGGAAAGGAGATGAATGGACAAAACAGTATAAAGGATAGGACTAATTAGGAGTAGTAGTCATCTCTGGCCAAGGGAGACTCTGTGTCCTGTTCTTGATAGGTCACTAAACAAACAGAAAACAAACCACCTGGATTAGGACTGATAGAAGGCAATGCTGCCTCATCAAAGTGTGGGATGGGAACAATGAAAAGTGAGTCGGTGATGAGTGTTCTAAAAATGATCAATCCTGGCTCCACTCTAATTCAAATTAAGAGAGTTTACATTTATAACTACCAGTAACTAGTCCATAGCTTACTTTAAAACTTTTTTTCATAAATATCCTAACAGTGCTCCATTCTTGGAGAATCTCAGAAGTTTCAGACAGCAACAGAACAAAAGAAGTAGAAATGCTGTCTACTGAGGACCCAGAAAGAAGGAAACTACTCGGGGTAAATTTTACTGGTAAAATTGAAAAGTAAGTGGTGGCTTAGGGTCCAATCCATAGGGGCAATCAAAAGACATTTAAGAAACAGGTACAGAATAATGCTGGTGTGTGTATCCACAAGTGTCTTTCAGGATTTTACCACCAAATGAATTGAAAAGCTACACCCAATGATTTAATAAATTGATTGTACTCCAACTAGATATCAACTTAAGCGAACTGCAGGAGTGCATCTACAAATTAGGACTCATCCCAAAATATTCAGCCTTCCCATCACTCTAATTCCCACTGTCCAACTCTCTTGGGTAATTAATATTGTGATTCTCTCCTTTTTATTTTCTTCTTAACACCCATCAATAATATAAAATGCAAATAATTTTTACATTTGGAATACTTATTGAATAACTCCTCTGTTCCCAATTTTAAAATGTTTGGTTGAACAATTTGAATTAAAAAATAATTTTTTAATCAAATTAAAATTTTTGATGAGTGATTTAGTGGACTTCAGGGAGAAAAATGACAAACATGGTCCCCATTCCTAAAGTATTAGAAAGAAAAATCATGATAAAATGAATATGGATTTTAAAATATTCTCCTCCTCAAAATAAATTTGCATGTTCTCAAGGTTGCTGCTGCTGTCAGTACTGGTTTTCTAGCTTTCTCCTGTCTGTGAGAGGTATAAGAAACCTGCCATTTTCACTAGAAACATTAAAGCTCAAGTGATACAACAGTTAAAAGTTTTAATTTTGTAGTTCAATTTTAAAGTTTCACACTACCCCCACCTCTTCACTCTCTCTACATCCTTCAGTTTGAAAGAAAGAGGACAGACGAACCTAGGGATTGTTAAATGGTAAAACTTACATCTGTAATGTTACTTGAGCTCAAAAAGTGTTGTAGTTTGTAAAACTGACAAGGGTCTTTTACTTTTTAATGCTTCCCCAAGTGCCTGTCAATTATATAAAGCTGTGAGTAATGAACAGCATAAAAGCCAGTTCCAAAGTCTTTATTTTTAGGAAATATATTACATGTTAAAACATTACATTAAAAATACTAGAGCAAAACAAACAAAATACAGAACTACTTTTTCCAACTTAATAGTCCTTAGCTCAGTCGAGAATTTTCAAAGAGCTGATATTACTTCTTTCTAATCTGTACTGACTAGTATTTTACCCTATGCTTTCCTTATAACGTTCCTAGATGATCTCTATCCAGACCCATTCACAGAGGATAGTACAGACAGGGCAGCACAAGCCGCTGGTGCTTTTGTTGGTAGTATAATAAATTATCTTTTATCCAGCTTACGGGAGAATTAAGGGGATAGAATTAGTGAAAATTCAAGTTAACTAAGGTTTAATTATGTAGCTCCAACTAATCTCTCCAGGGCTCCTCTCCCTCACTTTCTCAAGACCTTCAAGTTAATCAAAAGGGGCGGGTTTATGGTTACAAGCCACTTATCAAATTGCCTAAGAGAGAAAACATACCTTTTCCTACTATTTCTAAAAGAATTAGAATAACAAATAATTTGGCTATCTCTTCAAAAACTTCAACAGTCAAATTTGCTTTCTTTTTTCCAAAGAAGTCTAGTAGTACAGTGAGATTCTTTGTAAGTGTTAATGTGTGGTATTATTATGAGTTGATTTTATTAGTTCCTGTTTCAGTTGTTAGATAAAAATATAAAAGAATTTGCATCCTAAATCTCCACTTTATAAGACATCTTTTACTAGATACTTATATTTGCACACTGTATGTAAATTAGGAGATTAAAAAATATTTCAAATCATCTAATTGTGTGTATATGTACACTATATAAAGAAAAAAGAGAGGAAGTGAAGAGACAGAGAAAAGGAGATTTACTTTTTCTTCTGTGTTGCACAAGAAAACTTCAAAAATGCTTTTAATAATTGGAACTGAGTCTTTCAAAAAGGGAAAATCATTTGTTTTAATAAAAGCTAAAATACTGGCATATGAACCACAAGGTGGTGCTACAATTCCATGCTGGTAATGACATTTTAGACGTTAACTGATGCAGTTTTTTCTTTTGTTAACTGTAATCTCTTGATTTTTACAAATTTTTTGTAATTGAAAAAATAAAGCTAACTGAATTCATTAATTCTAGAAATGTTTACTGAAACTCCACTAAATTGAAGATCGTATCCTAACTTCAAAAGTTCATAATTTTAAAGTCTAATGACTAAACATGTATTAGAATACTAAAAATGTTTCCTCAAAAGTAATTTCCTACTTCGAATTTTAACAATATAAATGTTCATGTTATAAATAATAAATTACATATACATAATATAAACAAATGAATAAATACAATCAGATGATCTAAATAATAATACAAATGAAAAAATATTTTTCCCTCCAAATAATGGAATCAATTTTAAGATTACCCAGAACTATTATTACCTTTTTTACTTATAAAGTTATAAAAAGATAATTTATGTAGTAATTTAAAGTGAATTTCTTTTTTCTCTTGATTTAATTTCATCTAAGACATTTTCTCTTTCCATAAAAAATATATAACTTCCCATCACTTACAAAAAGCAAAAAATATCAGTGTTTCTTGTAATACTGGACGGCCGCCATGTGTGTCTGTGCTGCTGGTCTTAAAATGTGTTACAAAGTAGAGCACTAAAATACTCAACACACTTTCACAGTCAACTTCCCGACCTGCTTCCAAATACAAAAGGAGAATCATACCCTCACTTTCTTAGTATTTACTGAAAATGTGTTGCTGTTTTTGACAAAGCGTGAAATCATTGTATTTTTGTTTTATTTAATTTTCAATGAGAATTTTTAACTTTTCATTACAATATATTCGTCAGCACAGATGGCAAGACGGTATGTGCAAGAGCCTCCTGGGTACAATACGCAAGTCCCAGGTGGAGTGTTTCCAACAGGATGTGAACCGGGGTCCTCAAGCCTGTACTTTAAAAAGTAGATTACTTAGCCCACTGCCAACAAATGTCAACACCAAAATACAGTGCTATAATGACTTCACTCTGTAAAAGAAATGCATTGGCACACAGGTTTTCCTAAGAAAAGTAAAACAGAGTAAAGCAGTATAATCATATCATAAAACATTAAATATTTATTCAATATTGAATGAAAAAACTCATATACCAAATGGAATTCCAATTCTTAATAAAAATATTGCCATATATTACAATTTATAGAGAATTCTTAGAATATACAACACATACAATAGCCAAAGGCCTTAAGAAGTTCATGCAGAAAATTCTATAATTAGTGATTTGAACATTTCAGTAACTCTGCAGTTTCTTCAAACCTGAAATATAATAAATAAATAATATATTAAGTAAATAAATAATTCATAGTGAGGCATGGGATTTAAGTTGTTGAAATTATGCTTTTGAGCCTAAAATAAATTTCAATATTTTTCTTATTTAAAGGTATAGTTACTGTTAATAAATTAAGTATACCATGGCCAGAGGGGAGCAATAACAACTAGAGTCAATTATGAGTCTAATTCTTGGAGCATAATATTTCAGTACTTCTCAAATTTCAGAAAAATATTAAAGTTTTTTAAAGTGGTAGGCTGCATAACAATCCTATACAATTTCATTTCATATTTATTTTCAACTGCTCTTTAAAAACTCATACATAATTCTATATTGTATTAGATAAAGGTATCATTTTTAGTATTACCTTACCAATAGTTTTCTGAAAAAGACTAGCAATACTTTAACAATACTTAAAATGTCTCCAAACCATCCATCTACATATATCATATAGTATTTTGATAAATCACTTATCAAAAATAGATAATACTCTTTAATTACCAACCAAAAATATCTCTGCACTCTTTAATCCACAATTAATTCCATAAACAATGTTTTACATCACTTGTTGGAAACCGAAACAGTGACTCATCTCACAAACACGTAACTGTAGGTGGATTTATTACGCACTGGAGTCCTGAAGGAAATTCCACACCTGATTGAGAGACCTTTAAGGTTTGAAACACATATGCACATTCTGTATATACTGTAATCCAATACAATTCCCTATTGAGAAATGAATTTCTGTTGCCCTTTTCTGTTACTTACATTTTTTTCATCCTTTCCATTTTCTGGATTGTTGTTTCCTTTAATTTAAAAAGCAACAAATTTAGGCAATTTCTCAAAGTAAACCATCATCAAAGATGGACCATGAAAATATAAAATACATGAACATATAAAACAGTCTAAAACATTGCAGTAAGTACTGTTTACTGATCATGAAGAATTTTCAAGAGAAACTAAGATTTACAGTTTCACTATTTTTCTTGCCATGGTATCTACAACTCAATCTAAGGCTTGCTTATTCTCCTGAGCTTAGAAAGGAAATCATCTAAGCAGTTGCCAGTTTTTCTTACCTCTGAAATGTCTTTCAAACCACAGTAGTTAAGAGTTGAGGCTCTGGGAGTTGAATCTGACGACACTGTACTATAGCCAGAGGACAGAGGGATACTTGCTTGCCTCTCCTTTTTGCTTTTTCTATCTGTGGAGAAATTAACTTTTAGGTTATCTTTTCCTGTCATAGCGGAGTCAAATTTCTAAAAATGTTATGTATATATAAGAGAAACAAACATTATTTTAATATAAAATGGCTACAAGTATAAATCCAGATGAGTTTTTAATATTCTTTTAAGATAATGACTTACATATGGAGATCTAAGTGTTAAAAATTGACCAATAAAAATTACAAAAGGTAATGTTATCTCTATCACGGTAGCAATCAATTGAATAAGTAGGCAAGTTAATTTATTTTTAAATATAAACTACTGTCTCATGTATATTCTTTTCTTAGAATGGTGGCAACTATTACTAAAACTGACTACACATACTTTTAACTCAAGAAATATTCTATCCTGAGTTGATGTGCATGGAAAAAATAATGCTTAAAATTCAGGATTCACAGATTTCTTTTTCTAAAGAACTGAACAACTTTCCATTTCCAGTATCCTGATATTATTCACTCAACAAAACGATGGCAAATCTTTCCTACAATTGAATCAATTACAGAACATCACAGATAAGACATGCTTCTGTTGAATCAATCCCATAAGCCCTATGTTTTAGTTATGGTACATTTGGCTGCAAAAACAAGGCCCCTTCCCAAAAAAATCAGACACCCATTTAAACTGGTTTACATAAAGACAGTTTTATTGTTAAGCCTACACAGACAGCCTCAATTAGGGAACAGAGTATTACCACATGAGGACTGAAACAACTAAAAAGACTTTTACTTTCATTTCTCATGGAGCTACAGGTTTTGCCTCCTGCTCTTGCCTATTTGCTCCATTCCTCTACTTACTCATCAGCATGACCTTGGACAAAACGGCCAGCCTAACCCAGGCTCAACATCATCTGACTGACTCACTCTTGGTGTCCTTATTCCAAATTCCTAAGGAAGAGAAAATGATTGAGCTCAACTCCCTTTGGCTGGTATTCTCTGGATTAAGTGTCTATTCTTGATCCAATTAGCTGAGCTCAGGGATCAGGATCACATGATACATTTTCAAGACTAGCAGCTACACCCAATTCTTCTAGCAGGGGCTGTCAGGAATTGGTAATTTCAAGGAATAATTTGAATCTAGGCCAGAACCATATCTACTATGCCCTAATCTTGAATTATTTTCTATGGATAGAGACAGGTGTCCTGTCCAGGTGCTGAACATTTTTTATGCCATTCAAAAATAGGGAGATCCCAGGACAGGCAACAAGGCCTGCGAAGACAGACAGAATGGAGGGCTAGAAATGGAGGTCCCTGCTTTCTAGACTTTCACATATCTATCTAGCCTTGTTCAAGGGAACATCTCATGGGTGGGAGAAAGCTGGTATTAGGCAGGTTGGGGAACTATTCAGAAAGACAGTCATATAGGGCATCCAGAGGTTATAGAGCTGGGCATATACAGGACACCAGACATATTTAATAGCCAGATCAGTTAAGTGCATATTATTGTCTGTGATAATTCTTCTTATTGCCTTCATGAGCCTTTAGTAAAGTCTTCCTAGTTAAACACAATGGTTTCTTAGCTTTGCTATGGGAGATTGAGAAAGAACTGGTAACTGAGTTCAGGTTGGAAAGGAAAGGAAAGAGTAGTGGCCCCTGAAGCCATTGTTACAGAGTTTCAGAGGTGATTGCTAATAGATCCCTGTGAGGAAAGGGGATCTCTAAGGTATGGGACACTAGATTTTCCAGACAACTCTCCCCATATGACCATTAATCTTTCACTGCCAACTTTGGGGGATTATGACCTTATTTCATTAAGAGAACCACTTGGGTCCTTTGCCATTTAGTTATAATTTGTAAGCCAATCCCTCCAAATCAAAGGCCAAATATATATCCAACTGATTTCTGGATATTTTAAGTATTTCATTTATAACTTAATATATTCAAAAGTGAACTCATTTTCCCCAAACTTTCTCCTTCTCTTGAATTCCCTGTTTCATTAAAGAGCAACAACTATCTACCCAGTCACATGAGTCAGATACAAGTGGTCAGTCTTGACTTTTTTCCTTCTCCTTCACCCTTTTTACTTCTACCAGTAATGAGAGCCTATCAATTCTAACATTTAAATATCTCCCAAATAAACTATGTCCTCTTGATTTTCACTATCATTGCCTTAGTAGACACCCTCATTATTGTTTTGAAATAATGATCACTGAAATATACCCTTCAAATTACTGTCTTTGCATGTCTTACTTCCCTCTAATTAATCACTATTCTGCTTTTATGATGATCTTTCTGAAACACAAATCTGATACTAGGCTTGCTGAAAATCTTCCTATGACCTCACGGACTCCATGATTTGGCCTTTCTACTCTTCTGCTTCAACTTCCTTTATGTGCCCAACGTACCCTACTAGTGATACTGGAACAAATTACATTCTCGTGACACCAAAACTTTATTAATATTTTCAATTCTGTGAGGAAAAAGGCACAAAACAAAATAAAAACAAAAGCAGCCCTGACAGCCATGTCCTGCCTAGCAATTAACACCAAGGTCATTGCAGCCCCCAGCAAACATAATAGAAAATCAGCATCGTGAGGTCACTTCATTACTTGATGAAACAGAAAAAAAAAAATAAAGACTATTCTGTCATTGAACACAAACAGAACAAGGACACCATGTAACCACGCAAATAACCAGCTATTGCCCTCTCTCCACTAATATGAGTGCTTCTTTTCCATTGAAAATTTCAGCTCCGTTTCATTCTTATTGTCAATCAAATTGCTCCTGCTTCTGACAGCAAAAGAACTTCTTTAAACTGTCTCCAAAATCACCCAACATAAGCCCAATCCTCATAATAAAAGCCTCTCCTAACTCATTCTGACAGAAATACAGAGACACCTTATAGTTTCCCATGGAAACACTGTATTCCTAATAAAGGGAAAATGGATCTGGACCTTCACAAAAACCATTCCCAATTCAACATGATCCTGAGATCAGATTGGTGAATTATCACTCTCAACATTCAAAGGAAATCAAACTCTGTGCTTCCTAGTAGCATGTATATGTAAGGTGTAATGTATAATGCTTTATAAATTTGACTCTTTTAATTGATAACGGTCAGAGTATAAAGTTTTTGAGACCAGATATTCACCTTATTTATAACCTATAATCCATTTCAAATAGTGACCCATCTGTTCATCACCCTGAGTCCTAGCATGGTGGCTTAAACTTGGCTATGTGTTTACTAAATGTGTTAAAGGTATGTTCTGTAATAATGTTAGCTAAAAAACAGTACACCCAAACATGCAAACCCAAACTTGGAAAAGACGATGTTTTGCAAATAGCAGGCATTCAGCATTCTTTCAGTGCATAAAAATTTGAGCTCTACCATATACAGATACTGGAGATAGAAATATAGATGTACTTTCTGTCTGCTAGACAGACCGTAAGATAAAGTTCTTGCTGTCATGGATCTTAGAGTTTAGCTTTGAAATGTGTTGAGTAAATGAATGAAGGATATATGAAAAAGTCAACATTTTATCAAATCTGAAATTTGTAGTCTATAATAAATTGAGTGCCTGAAATAGCATCTCAAAAAATTATATTTAATAACCTAATCACTGAAATTGTTCTCTGTGTAATGAAACTGGCATGTGCACTAAATACGCAGTGGTTAAAAGAAAACTTCAGAGCTAAGTTGCCTCGATTCAAATTTGTTCCATCATTCAATAGCCGTGTGACTTGGCACAGTTATTTAATCTCTCTGTACTTCACTTTCCTCACCTGTAAAATATGGATAATAATAGTACTTACGTTGCATAGTTGCCTTGAGAATTAAAATTGTTAATATAGCAGTTAGAATAGTGCCAGGCACACAGTTAGCACTATAATGTGGTGGCAATGGTGTTACTAAATTGTTATATATGTAGTAGTTGAAAAATTTAATGACATTAAACATCTGCAGACTTTGAAATTTAACTTCATTATGTATTCTCAATTGGACAAAATACATCATCTACAAATATGATTTAATTACAAACAAGAGATAAAATTTAGACTTTTGTCTCTTCAGAAACTGTAAGAACCAAAAAATAAAAGCTGTCACTGAAAAACAGCCCAGAAATCTTATCCTTGCTGCTCAATCACACTGAAAACATCACTAGCCTAGTGAAGTTAAGTGACATGGAGAAGACCTGTCCTAATTTTAGATCCTTCTTATTTTATGATCATCAGTGAACTTTTCAAATCCAAGAGGTCTTTTGGTTTTTTTTTTTTTTTTTTTGGAGGAAGATTAGCCCTGAGCTAACATATGCCGTCAATCCTCCTCTTTCTGCTGAGGAAGACTGGCCCTGAGCTAACATCTGTGCCATCTTCCTCTACTTTATAGTGGGACGCCTACCACAGCATAGCTTGCCAAGTGGTGCCATGTCCGCACCCGGGATCCAAACCAGTGAACCCCAGGCCGCCAAAGCGGAATGTGTGCACTTAACCACTGCACCACCGGGCTGGTCCCTGCAAGAGGTTTTTTAACACTTTATAGGTTACTGACAAATGTGTATTCTTCTCTTACATATATTAGTTACATATGTGAAAGCTATACTTAAATTTAAATTAGAAACTTTGGAGGTCCATTTTTATTATTCCAGAGCACTTTACAATTAAAAGAGTAAAACATCTCCAAAAGTTTGCAATTTTGTACACTGGAATTTATTCAACCACTAGGTCATGTAAGACACGTAGGCTGGCTTTTCTAGCAATTTTTGTCTTCGGTAATCTGTTCAATATTTTCTTTGCTCTTAGGAACTTTGCAGCTTCCAAAAAGATAAGGCTTGGTGACATTAGAATTTCCAAATACCTATAAAAACCATTTTTCTGAAAACTCCTTACCATATCACCAATACCAATATCGTAAGAACTTACCAGGCTTCAGAATATCCATGTCACTACTAGAAGAAGCGTAGTCTTCATTAGCTTCATTAAAGTCTACAAAGTCATCATTCTGGAATAATATAGTTTAGTATTTAGAATAAAATGAAAAAAAAAGTTCTCATTTTTCATTCTTACTGCTAAGCATAAAATATAAAGATGACATGATAAATGTTGAAATATTTTTCATTATTTTATTTATAAAGCAAAACAAACATTCTCACATACAAGAAATCATCTTTTAAATGTGGAAGCAGATAGTAATCTTCTTGAATCTAGTAACTTTCTAGGAAGGAAAGACAGACTAGGATCAGAAACTGAAATCCTGAGTAAAGCAAGAAACAAACTTCTCAGATTTGATGAGGCAGTGGCACATTTGGGACCTGTTTCTATGAAACTTGCAATTTGATTAAAGCAAATGAGCAAGAAAAGGAAGTTATAATTTAAATTTTTCCTCTCCTGTCAACTTTACTTCTTTCCCCTGCAAAAACGGGCCCTTTATACTATTAAAGGGTCTAAAATAATTTCAAGCTTTTCATAAATAAAATCAAACATTATCTCATTTTAGGTACACGTATTAACAGCTCTAAAAGCTCAACTTACAGGTTTGTCGGATTATCTTATTTAATGAAGGAAAAAACAACAGCCAACAACAACAACAAAACAGGCTGCGTCTAAACAGAACTTTGTTCCAATTAAATATTTCCCATTACCTAAATATTCTCTTATTTGGTATTTCCAAAAGAATACACACATAAGTGAATAAAGGAAATACTTTATTGTATCTGAAGTATTCTATGAATGTTAAGGAAAGCAAATACCTTTTTAGACAAAAGCCTTTCTGTTTCAAGAAGAGTGACGCGACTTAGGAGATTCGTCCAGGTTTTTTCATTCACCATCACTTTTCCTTTCATTTTTTCTTCCAAACAGTCTAATCTACTCTCTATCCAACTTAGTTTCGTAAGCTTTTCTTGGCATTCTGCAAGCTTACTCTGCAGTGCAGTAATCTCAGGACTACCTTTTATGTCCTAAAATGATCAGAAAGATTAAAAATAATGTCACGCAAGCTGAAATTCCTTTTCAATTCAATGTATTCCCACTTCCAATAATTAACAGTTACAATAATTATAGTAACAATTAATAGTTACAATAGGCAGTACAGCATGAGAGTTAAGATTCTATTTCTGAAGGCTGACCACTTGGACACTTAAACTAGCTCGTCTGAGATGTGTGACTTTGATGCCTGAATTTCCTCATCTACCAAAAAAGAAAGAAAGAACAGTACCTACTTCATATGCTTCTTGTGAAGATTAAATGAGTTCATTTGCATAAAGCTCCTAGAATATCAGGAAGTATAATAAAACCTTATCCGAGGTTTCACTTTCTGTGGTTATCCTGGGTCAACCACAGTCCAAACATATTAGATGCAAAATTTCAGAAATAAACAATTCATAAGTTTTCAATTGTGCACCATTCTGAGTAGTGAGATGAAATCTCTCGCCAACCTGCTCCGTTCCGCCCCGTCCCGCCAGAGACATGAATCATTCCTGGTCCAGCGCGTTCACGTTGTATAGGCTACCTGCCCGTTAGTCACTTAGCAGCTGTCTCGGTTATCAGATCAACTGTGATGGTATTGCAGTGCTCATGTTCAAGTAACCCTTATTTTACTTAATCATAGCCCTAAAGCACAAGACTAGTGACGCCTACAATTCAGCTATGCCAGAGAGAAGCCATAAAGTACTTCCTTCAGGTAAAAAGGTGAAAGTTCTTGACTTAACAAGGAAAGAAAAACATCGTATGCTGAGGTTGCTAAGATCTATAGCAATTTCTAGTACAGTATATTGTTATAATTGTTCTGTTATATTATTAATTATTGTTCTTAATCTCCTACTGTGCCTAATTTATAAATTAAACTTTACCATAGGTATGTATGTATAGGAAAAAACAGTAACATAGGGTTCAGTACTATCTGTGCTTTTAGGCATCCACTGGGGGTCTTGGAACGTATCCTCTGTGGATGAGGGGGACTACTGTAGCTTCTTGTAACAACACCTAGCACAAAGCTAAGAGAAAATGACCAAAAAATGACAGTGCGTTGAGATTGTTCAGTTTTCTATAAATAGGAAATAAGCCTGATGGCCATCTGGTAGTTTTTATAAATGCCAACTGTATATTGAGATGTAGAGAAGTCAGAGGACACAGAAGATAGAAAAAGAAGTTTTAGCAGAAACAGTAGAGAGTAGATATTATAATGGGGTCTGTGGCAATAAAGTAATAGAAATGGTATTCTAAGAGAGAAGGAGAGAGAAAAAAAGACAGCAAGAGCCCAAAAAGGAAAAAGAAAAGGCAGCAGGGTACCAATTGTTTCCATTCATCAATATAAGGAATAGATGGTAGAGAAGTTTCCCTGTACACAGTAGTATATCTCTATCTCTCAATACACTGTAAATTGCTTAAAGCCAAGTAGTATGTCTTATTCGCCTTTCTATTACTTATCTTTCTATTCATAACACCTAGCCTAGTACCCTAAACATAAGCAGCAAATAACATCTGTTGAATTATATTCAGTAAAACTTTTTGATTCTTAAGTAATGGTAACAAAGGTAACGTGTCGTGACTAATAATTCAAAAGGCTAGAAATATTCCAAAGTTTAGATGCTGAAATAATCATGTACATCAAAGTAAGAAATATGGGTATCTGTTAAAGAAGTCCAAAATTATTACTTGCTGATCAGACTTGATTTCAGGGACCTCTACTTCAGGAATGGTTATTTCACTGGGCTTTAAGCCACACACATCAAATGCTTCATTAACATCTGTGACTGTACTTAACATATCTTCAGGGATTTTAACACTATCTTCAGTATACAGGTGACGGATCACCACCGCTTTCTTCTGCAGAGAAAAATACATCAGAGCTGCTTCAATGTTTTTCCTCACACAATTATTTTTAAACATACACACAGAAATTTGCAAAAGGAACATCTTATCTTCCCTTTAACATTTACAAACGTTTAAATTACCACATATAATGTATATATTAAACATTATAAACTATTATTAATATTTTATATATGATGAAATTGTGGTTATAATTTTTAGAAGCATTCTGATATTTTAGAAAAATAGTGAAATATCTATTCAATGATGTCTGGGATTTATTTCCAAATGTTTCAGATCTGGGGGAAAGATATTGGGAAAAGTGATTACAATAAAGATGAAACAAGATTAGCAAAAAGTTGACAAATTGCTGAAACTCAGAATGGGTACTTTTGTAAACGTTTGAAACGTTCCACAATAAAACATTATTTTAAAAAGGTTATCACCTAATTCACATGTAAGTAATCAAGAACTGGCTCTGTGAGCAGGACTCCAAACAATTTCTTTTCCGGTTAAACAAACCACAAAATATCAGACCTTCTCCTAACAATTCAAACTTAGTAACGACAAAGGGAAACTCCTGAGAGTAAGGCATGAGGTCAAACTAGGAATTTACATAGGACTGTTCCACTACTTCCCGTTTTACAGACTGCATATGCTCTATAAAAACGTAACATATATGACACAGAAGTCAAATAGCACTCTAGAGATGGCTATAGAGGAGACAATTTGCTTTAGTATTGACTCAGTTTTTGCCTGTAAACAAAGGAGTGTACTTACTGACTCCAACTTTTCTAAATGGGAATACTTTTTAATACTTATTCAAATTCCTGATAATTAAAGATCTGATATAACAGATAAAATTTTGATGGATAAGAAAACTTTAAGAAAATTAAAAACAAGTCTAATGTCTTGAAATTTTGCATCTTTCTTTGTTAGGACAATTTAGTTTACGCCTCAGCCCCCATCCTGAAAAAGAAGGCTGAAAAATACATTTAGTTACAGCAACTCATATTTAATAAATGCTTATAGTGTGCCTAATCCTGTGCTAAGCACAATGAAGGTAAAAAAAAAATCAGCATAAAAAACTCCCTGTTTATATAAATTCTAGTTGGGGAAGGATACAAGACATACATCACTTAACAGTTAGAAAATAAAACTGTATAAAACCAACAAGAGTTAGAAAATAAAACTGTATACAACCAACAAGAGTTAGCGATTCACACAGACAAGAACTATGGGCATGTATTCAGAAACGATGCCTCTTTTAATTCCTTTTCTTTTTGCCCTCATTACATGGAGCAAAACAGGCATATTAAAAAAAGGTACTGACCTAAGAATTTGTTTCTTATAGCAAAATGTCACTAATTTTTATAAAGGCAAAAAGTACAAACGTATTTTTTCTTTTTTTAATTTATTTTATTTTTTGCTGAGGAAGATTCACTCTGTGCTAACATCCATACCAATCTTCCTCTATTTTTCAGAATGTGGGCTGCCAGTATAGCATGGCTGCTAATAGGGCAGTGTAGGTCCACACCCAGAAACTGAACTCAGGCTGCCAAAGTGGAGCATGCTGAACTTAATCACTAGGCCACCAGGGCTGGCCACAAATGTCTTTTTAATAGATTCTGTTTGTATAACTCACGTATTTTGAATTAGGGAAAAACAATTCTCTAGATTTTACTTCAGCCAGAAACTATTCACATTCTTTATCTAATTACACATTGATTATTCATCTGGTATTCTATCCTTTGATCTCAGAAAAAGCTTGCCCCAGATGGAAGACAGGCGAAAGTATTTTTATCATTATAAAATGATATTTTGGCTTCAATTTCCCTTGAGGATAAGAAAAGTTTTCTCTAAAATGCATTGGACTCTCAGCCAAAATTACTTGAAGCAGACAAAGGCAGGGAAGATATCTATCAACAAAGAGAAAATATTCAAAACATTAACCTAAAACCAGATTATAGGTTTAGGGACTATCAATCATTGGATAATTTATACTCCTGGTACAGAAAAATGAATGTAGGAAATGAATCATCATAACCTATCACTACAACTAATGGTAGGCTCTTCATATTCATATGTTCCCACGTTTTAGGAAGACTATATACATAATTAACAGTAAACTTTCATGATTGCATAATATAACCTTCCTAAATCATCTCTATTCTATCTAGGAAGCGAGGTAGAATTAGGAATCAGAAATAGAAAGCATGTTCAATTTTACATTTCTACTCTCTTCTTATAATTTTAGGGCTGTTCCCCCAGTTAATATAAGATATGCATTGTTAAAAATCCTTACACTCTAATATCTAACTAGAATGTTTTAGCAGCTGCTAGTCAGAAAAATGAATCTTGTACAGTGGATTAATTAGATAATAACTCAACACTACAGGATACATTTTCTTTGTATTTTCCTACCTTTCCTGAAGTTATAAACCTTCCAGTGACATCAATACCAACAGGTTCTGTAGATGTCTTCTCACTGCTTGAAGAAGGTTCTGACTTAACAGAACTGATTTTTTTTCTTTGTTGTGATGGAGTCTTAAAAAAAGTATTAAGACGTAGTAAATTTTGTGTGAAAGCATGATGTATATTTAAACTCTATTATTTAAATTTTCATATATGAAATATGACTATTGAATAATAAGAGTCTAATGAGGATACATGTCTTTTGAAGAAGTGATGAAAACATATTATGCTTGAACTATTAGTTTAGGATGAGTAGATCCAAGCCACAAATGTTTAAAAACAGGTGACTAGTATTTAAAGCAAACACCAGGCATTATAAGGTTACCCAAATCTGTGTATAATGCAGTAACTATACTACGCTTTCATTTGCTGTCTAGGGTATTGATTTCATACATTAAAATACTGGGCCACTTAGCATAAGTTAAAATCTATTAATAAAATTACCTTGTCAAGACTACTCAACTCCTTATGCTTTTTTATCACACAATTCAAAATATCACAAGTAATTTGGATTTTCCATTCGGCAAATCCACACTGGATAAACTGCTTTTTTGTCAAGATTGGTTTATAATTAAATTGATCCCGAAGAAGCTGTAAAGAGGGAATAGATCAACATAATAATTGGGAGCAATTTCTTTCAAAAATCCAAAATGATAAACAGCCACCTGGTCAGACATGTAATGCCATTTTTGAGAGGAGGAGGATCAAGTCATTAAATAAAGAGTACTAAAGAGATGTGTAGAGGTGGTGTGAGTCATGACCAGGTAGGAGAGGTATCCAGGTGGAAAACAGACAGCTAGGGATGTAGCAGAGAATAAATGGCTGTCCAGAGAGATGGAAAGTGACAGCTACTCATCAAAAAGTTCAAATATCCTCACAGGTACTAGAAAAATTCCTTAGCTCACTATAGAAGAAAGAATACCATACCAGATTTCAGAAAACCATAGTTCCATTTGTTTATAATTCTTCCACTACATGATTTTTGGACAAGTCAGTAGGTCTGTGAGTTTCAATTTCTCATTTGTAAAATCAGAGAAATAGACTAAACCAGTAATTTTCAAAATCTACTCTGTGGAACCCTAGGATTTCTTAGAAGTGCCTCTTAGATTTCCATGGAAGCTTTCTGGGGTGAGAGGCAAAGAAAGGGAAGATAAAGGAGCTCCCATTTCATCAAATGCAACTCTCTACTTAAAAAAGAAAAAATAAGACTTCAGTTGATAAATGGGCTTCATGATTTCTTTAAAAAAATTTAAGAAGACCACAGTACTTGAGCAAAAATTAATGATAAGTATGTTTTTTTACATCAAATATGAGATTAAGTTCAGTAAATATATAGTACAAGTATAGATACTAGGGTAGACATAAGACATCATCTCAGACTTCCAGGAACATAAAATCTCAATCAAAGTTGTAGTTCCTTCTTACAAACAACTAAATTAACTCACAATTCTATGAAGCACAAACTTTACTCAATAAAATATTGCCTACTTATGCCAGCATACCAAATTTTACTAAAATTTGATATAAAAAGAGCAAATGATAACCAATGACAAATGTTTACCAGTTGTCATATTTATTAGAGTATGAAACATAAAGCAAACTTGAATTACATCTTGATTCAAATAAGGATTGCATTTAAATGAGATAAATGTATATGAAGATACTCTGTCAACTATACATGCTGCATATATTTAAGGAGTTATTATGAAAACAGTAATCTTAAAAAAATCATTCAATGACTACTAAAATAATTATTGTTTCATAAACTCAAAATACCTTATAGACAGTATCTATAAAGCGCAAGTCATTCTTTGCTATGAGCTCTATATTAGATTCCATCAGAAGTTCGGCTACATAAGGTGAATATGAGGTAAGGGCATAGCTGATGATGGGCAAAGACGCTGCTGTATCTCCCTTTATCAAACTGTCAGGAAAAAAGAAAAAAAGATTTAGCGAATAAAATTCTACAAAGTTGGATAATAAGGGAAATATAAGAAATGTCAGTAATTTATAACTTAACATTGCAGCCATAATAATTAGGTGATGCACAAGACCCTTTAGATTCCATCCCTTACTCTAAATCAGTCTAGCCAAATTACTATTGTTCCTTTGCTCAAAAACTTACAATAGCTCTTTAGTACCAACAGTCTGTTTACCATAGTACTTACTGATTTTCCAAAGCTTAGCCTTACTCAATCTAGCCCATTTCTCCTACTAATAATAAAACAAATGTACTACCTTACAGTACCCAAGTATACTTCATGATTTCACAAACACTTGTTACATTACCTCATTTGCTCTTTACCACAAACCTGCAAAGGTAAAATATTATGAATTCTAAGTTATAGATGAGGAAAGCAGGACTGGAAAATGCATCTACTGTGACTAGGCTGATCGGTTTACTATCTTCCACCTACATCAGGCTCATTAGAAATGAGTACCTTACTAGCTTATGCTAATTCCTCTAGTTTAGAAAGGCACCCACTCTTCTCTGTTATTCATTCTTTATGAATCATCTGTCAAATATTAAGTGTTCCATGAAGTCATCCTCAACTCTGTGGTCCTTACTGATCTCTCCCAGAAAGACTGCCCAAGTATTCAGTATCTGATGCCTCATGCTCGGTCCTGTACTATTGTCTCATTATCTACACATATGGATCTTATTTTCTCACTTGGAAGTACCTTCACTGATTCTCCCACAACAAAGCACAGGAGGTATCTGTTCAATTAGCCAGTTATACTTGTTCAAGTGAAGTAATAATGTACTTACATAAAATGTATTTGTTTTCCACAAAATTCAAGACAGGTACATAAATCTCCGCCCAAATTTTTTAATAAGGCAGAGAACAAATGTATGATGATAATACATTTTGTTTTTCAGGACAATTATAAATCGTTTCTCATTTATGTTTATGGGTACAATAGTATTTTACCCAATGAGAAAACTGCTCTGGCAACCATGTCTATCTGTAAGACAGTTCAAACACAGAAAATGAAAAAAATACCTTTGAATAGCAAAATCTGCCCATTTTATGCACACTATGAATAGAAAATAGCCAGGTCTGCATTTAACACCCCTTACATTAAACAATCTCAAAAATCTTGGCTATCTAGTTTCTAAGGATTTAGATTAGAAACAGCAAGAAAAACAGACATTATAAACTGGCACATCAACACAAAAAAACAGCAGATGGCAAGAAAACATTTAAAACTGGGAAACTGTAGAAAGAATCAAAATATGTGTGTGGGGGGGTGTCTACCCGTGTGTGGGGACAGGCAATCTGAAGAAGCAGCAGCAAGTAGCATTACCTATCTCAAGAGACCCTGCAGATATTACTATGTTATGAATAACTTTAAAATCTTTGTTTTAATGATACTCTGGGGTCAATAAGAAAATCAAATGTTTAAATGCTATACTCAAAAGATAGGAGAATAACTGGTGTATTTTAGAATTATTCCTACCCAAAATATCTTTTAAAATGTTGATGCTTAAAGTAGTAAGAAAACTTGACTACCCAATCTGGTTACATCCCTGCAAGTCTGGATGGTAGAGATTTCCCTGTTTGAGGACCAAGATATGATTGGTACACACTATGGGAGCAGACTATGGAATATCTTCTGCTTCTTACATAGAATACATGTAATAACAGTCATTAGAGCCAAGCTTTCTCCTCACTCCTCACTATCCTTTCATTTGCAGCCTTCTCTCAAGGTTAGCTTTCCCTAGTATACAACTAGAATATCCACTTTTATAGGTAAAGCCCATTACTCCAGAATTCTACTTAGTAGCTAGTTTAACCAAGTTTCACTCTACTACTTGAACATGTGCCTCATCTGGACTTGTCTCTTGACACACTCATTGAACAAATGTCTAATTAGCTTCTAATAATGTGCCAGGCACAATTCTAGATGTGGGGATACAGCAGTGAACAAAACAAAAGTACTAGACTTCGGCTTGCATTTTAGAGAAATACTTAATCAGTCAATAGTCCCAGCAAAGAAGAAAAAGTATTAAAGGATAGAAGATGGCAGGGGCACCACATTAGATTGGCATGAACATAGAAATGCTGTTCCATTCTACAAAATTAAGTCAGTCATAATTGGAAAGTGGAAACTACAGCAAAAGGTTCAAAGTGGGGTCTGGTAAATGACATAGCTTATAGCTTGAGAGCAATCCTCAAGCATGGTTTACCTTGTTACAAGAAATCAGTTAAACAGAATCTTTCAAATCAAAAAAATATCCAACTCAATGTGTGAGGGTGGTAAACTATATAACTAGTGAAATCCATTATACTTCTAAAAGCATAAAGTTTAAAAGGTGTACAGAGACCATAACTTACACTAATATATATCGTGCTTCTACATCTAAAAGGTGTTTCAAATCTCAAGTTGGAATTTTTCATTAATTCATACTTAGAAGCAAACTCCTTTCTAACTGCTTTCTAAGATATTGTAATCATTTCAAGGAAAATTTTTAGAAGACCCAGATAAAATCTGTATCTTTATTTAGATACTCCTCCCACATCAAATATCTCAAATCATTGCCAAGAATACAAAAAAGTTTGAGATTATAGCTTACCCTACACAGTCCACCTCTTCAGGATAATTTAATGAGCGCAGCACCTGCTCCAGGTTCCGTAAGCTTCTTTTTAAGTCACCTGTTGCCATTATTTAACATTAGATTCAGCTCCAGCTTTTGAAATAACCTAATTTTTCACCTAAAAATAAAAATCCATGAAACACTGGTTAAACCTGTGTATTTTTTAAGTTTCTCTATTTTATTTTGTTTATATCTCCTATAGATACTTAACATATTTATCTTAGCTATTTCTCCACTAATTTATCTTTCCTAATGGCCTAGCACTGTCTTGTATCTACTGTGTATTCCTGAATGTCACATGCACTTTTCCCCAATATTTTTTCCTTACAAAAAATAACTGTCTTATGTTCATGTTCTTATAATGTGTTTAATATTATATGACACTCTCCCAAATATTTTATTTTGACAACAAAGTACCATTTGAGCAGACACGTAAACCTGAAATAATCTTCATCAATGACTATTTTGGATGCTTATAAGGCTACAAAATAAAATCAGTAAAAAGTGGAGACGAAGGGGCCAGACTGGTGGTGCAGCGGTTAAGCTCACACATTCTGCTTCAGCAGCCCAGGGTTCACTGGTTCGGATCCCGGGTACAGACATGGCACCGCTTGTCAAACCATGCTGTGGTAGGTGTCCCACATATAAAGTAGAGGAAGACGGGCATGGATGTTAGCTCAGGGCCAGTCTTCCTCAGCAAAAAGAGGAAGACTGGCAGCAGATGTTAGCTCAGGGCTAATCTTCCTCAAAAAAACCAAAAAACAAAAATGGACAGAAAGAAATTTAGTACAGATTTAGTCGTTATTCCCAGGGCTCTGACCTTATATAGTTGCCAATCAGATGCTTCACTTAAAAAATAACAATAGATGAGTGAAAAAGAAAGGGTTTAGCTGGTTAAACATGGCAGATTAAATGCATGTTACCTTTATTTCCTTCTTCTGAACACCACTAAAATGAAAGTAAATGATTAAAAACCATATATAGTTGCCAGGGCAAAGTGAACTAGAGGAGATTCCATTTGACAGAGGATGCGTCAACAAAATTTTGGAACATGGAAAGCAGATGGATGAGTGATAACAAATCTAACAGAATAGGCCAATCCCATCTGACTACTTAGGAGGAAACTAACAGGAACAAGACAGGTTCAGAAATGAGGGGCCCCTGATACTTCTGAAAGGCTGAGGGATAAGGCCAGGGGCCCTGAAATAAGGATGATTATTTGAAAATCCATATAAGCTGCTGCTAAACCCTAGATCTTTACTTTCCCACCCCCTTCCTATCCCGACACATATAACCCACTCAGCTAGGCAACTACCCCTCTGATGCCTAAGGTTAGCAATGAGTTTTTAGATAATACCAGAGCACAATCCGTGAAAAAAAAAATTGATGAGCTGGACTTCATTAAAATTAAAAACTTCTGTTCTACAAAACACACTGTCAAGAGAATGAAGAATTGGGAAAGAATGTACACAAAATACATATTGAATAAAAGACTTGTTCCCAAAATATACAAATAACTCTTAAATTTGAGAGTGAAAAAACAAATAACACAATTAAAAACTGGGCAAAATATCTGAAAACACATCTCACCAAAGATATACAGATGGCAAATAAGCATATAAGAAAAGATTCTCAACATCATATGTCATAAGGCAATTGCAAATTAAAAAAAAAAAAACAATGAGATACCACTACACACCTATTATAATGGCTAGAATCCAAAAAACTGACAATACCAAATGCTTAGGAAGACATTCATTTATTGCTGGTGGGAACGCAAATGGTACAGTCAGTTTGGAACACAGTTTCACAGATTCTTACAAAGCTAAACATACTTTTACCATGCAATCATCAATTATGCTAATAGGTATTTATCCAACTGATCTGAAAACTTACATACACACAAGATCCTGCATTCGAACGCTTAGAGCAGCTCTATTCACAATCACCAAAAACTGAAAGCAACCAAGATGTCCTTCAATAGGTGAATGGGTTAAAAAAACTGTGGTGCATTCATACAATGGGATATTACTCAGCAATAAAAAGAAATGAGCTATAAAATCACCAAAAAACATGTATGGACCTTAATGCATATTGCTAAATGAAAGAAATCAAACTGCAAAGGCACATACTGAATTATTTCATTTATATGACATTCTGGAAAGGGCAAAACTGTACAGATAATAACAACTACAGAGATCAGTGGTTGCCAAGGACTGAGAGGGAGGAGGAAGGGTTGAAGAGGTGAGTGCAGGGGAATTTTTTAGAGAAGGGAAACTATTCTTTACAATAAAGTAATGATAGACATTATGCATTTGTCAAAACCTATAAAATTGTACACCTCAAACAATAAACTAATATATGCAACTTTTCAAAAACAACTTAGGAAGGTGGGAAATCCCAGGAAGGAATGCAGACTGTGTGACAAGTGAATCTAACTGTATTCCCAATGTGTGAAACAACCTCAAAGAAGGCGATGGGGGAAAAGGTGTTGACTAACTTTGCAAATGAGTGGAGACTGTGAAATTAAAGGCAAAACAAATTGCACATAAACACTGTACTCTAGCTTATAAAACTGTTTTCCATGTACGTATGAGTTAATTCTGATACTTCTATACAGATATTCGGAAATTGAACAATTGAGTAAATGGATGGCTGAATAGTAGCAGCCAGGTTTCTCACTGCTGGAGTGGGAATTTACAGATAAGCAAGGGGAGGAGACTAGGGTGAGGCATGCCTAATGGATTACAGTTAGAGACATCAGTATGGACTGAAGTTTAGCTCAACACAGATACAGATAATTTCCTACTGAAATATTCATAGATATGTGTATATAGACAGCTTAGTATACACACGTATATTTCCTCTCTCTGTCAGCCAAGAGTGACTAAAAGCAATGGTACCCCAGTAGCAAAGAGCACGCCTAGCATCCAGATCTTGGTGTGTAACACTATTCTTCAATAAAAGGAACCATGTCTCCCTGGAAAAATGACAATTCTAGGACTGGGGCAGGAAATATACAAGATGCGCCTGAAGCATTATGTAGTTCTAGAAAGTACACACAAAACAAACAAACCAATCCCATAGAGATGGGAGTATGTCAAAGGGACACAGAAGCCAAATGAAACAGCTCTCGATGATCAATGAAACAATTTGAACAACAAAATTCATAAAATAGTATTAGATCATAACCCAAAGTATAAAACAAAACAAAAAACAACCAGTATAATGCAATACATTAATAAAGCAGAAAAATCTTACAATCATTTCAATACATGAAGTACAGGTATTTGATAAAATTCAACATTCATTCATGATATAACTCTTAGGACATTAGGAATAGAAAGGAACTGCCTGCATTTGTGATAAAATTCAACATTCATTCATGATATAACTCTTAGGACATTAGGAATAGAAAGGAACTGCCTGCATTTGATAAAGGATATTTACCAAAAAATCTACGGCAAACATACTCAACGGTGAAATATTGAAAGCTTTCTCTCTGAGATTGGGAATGAGGCAAACTTATCCACTCTCATCATTTCTATTCAATATTGTACTAGAGGTGACAGACTGTACAAAAATGCAAGAAAAATAAATAAAAGAGACAAATAAAAATGTCATCATTACAGATGCCATAATTGTATATGAAAAAATCCAAAAGAAATAATAAGTGAATTCAGCAAGGTTGCTGGATAGAAGGCCAATATACAAAAATCAATTGTATTTCTCTGTATTCCCTAAATAATTAGAAAATGTTAAAGTTATATATGTATAAATAATTCACTATAGCCTTAATAAATATCATATACATGAATAAATCTAGAAAAGATATGTAAGACCTCAAAACTATAAAACTTTACTGAAATATATTAAAGAAGTCCTAAATAAGAAGAGGTTTACACTTTCATCAAGGATTGGAAGACTCAATAAATTGATAAATTGTTCCATAGATTCAATGCATTCCCTCCCACCTCCTACAAAAAAAAATCCTTGCAGTTTTTAGGTGGAAATTGACAAGCTGATTCCAAAATTTATACAGACGAGCAAAAGATAAAGGATAACTAATACAATCTTGAAGATTAAAATTGGAGGACTTAACCACTAAGACTCATTATAAAGTTAAATTTAGAATTAGCGAAAAGACGTACAAACAGAACAATGGACCAGAATAGAACCTAGAAACAGACCATGTATATATTGACACTAGATTTATGACAAAGTTGATGGTGGGTAGCCGTGGAGAAATAAATGGTACTGTGTCAACTAAATATCCAGATGGAATAAATAAATCTTGACCTCGACGTAAAGAGTACCTCACATGCTTCAAAAAATTAATTCCAGGTTTGTTCAAGATCTAAATGTAAAATGTAAGACAAGCAGGCTTTCTGGAGATCACAAAGGAGAATATGATCTTCAGGCAGAGAAAGATTTCTTATCTTATGCCTGATAAACGAACCACTTAAAATTAGTAACTTCTATTCATCAAAAGATACCCTTAACAGAGTGGAAAGATAAGCCATTGAGTGGAAGTTGATGCTGTCAATAGATACAACCAAGAGAAAGATTAGTATCTTAGAATACATAAAGAACTTCCTAAAAGGAATAAGAAAAAGGAAGACAACTCAATAGAAAAACAGGAAAGAGATTTGAACAGGAACTTTACAAAAGAGTAAACATGTGAAAAGATAATCCCATTAATCATTAGGAAATTTACAAAGTAAACCCAAAATGTAGGCTGTAGAGCATCTGAAACTCACACAATGCTGTGAAAGGGTAAATTAGTAAAATTACTTTGGAAAACTTACTGGCAATGTCTACTAATGCTGACACACATAGAGCCTATGAAACAGGAGTATGACATATACATATGTAATACATATACATAAAGAATATACATAACAGAACATGTGTGTGTCTGTGTGTATATATATGCATGTGTGTGTGTGTACACCAAAAAACATGAACAATATTTGAGATTTTAAATAGAATGGTTCATTTTTATAAATCCCAAAGGAAATAATACCATGGAATCATATTTTTAAATGACTTATTTTACTGCACGAGTTAAGGTTTTCATTAGATTCTTAACTGAGACTATTTCCAAAGGAGGTTCATAAAATAAATAATAGTAAGATAGGTAAATAAATGGTTAAGAACCTTTGTTAGAAAGAGACATAAGACCTCTACACTGTAAGTCTAGCCAACCAGGAAGGCAAAGCTCAATACTACACTTCAAAATATGTATTCATAACTGTTCATGGACACCTCATAGAAGGAAAATAACATATAACAATACCTTGAGTAATGAATCCTCTGGGAATGAAGCTCCTTTAAAATGAAGTCATTGACAGCAAAAAAAAAAAAAAAAAAGAACAATTCATAAATCAAGTGAAGTAGAGTTAGTGTGATCTTTTCCCCCTAGTCAGCATTCCAAGAGTTGCCCAGGATATAAATTATCTTGTTACACACCTTCTTTGTATCTAAACATAACTACAGGTAACAAGGCAAGCACTCTGCAAAATCCCAAATTTAGGAAGCTTTCTATTTTAAGCCACCAACCACCCATCCTCCTGTATCCACCCAGTATCCTCCTGTTTCAAGTCGCCTCTCCTTTATCAACATGGTAAAGAACAGGTTAATTATTGAAATTAATTTACACACTCATGCATGGGTTTTAGTAGTATTTTTCAGCCAACCAATTACTTCAACTAAACATTTACATTTTTAGGCAGAGGGAATTTCATGTACTGTCAAATGGGAGCTAACTAGAAAAAAGAGGAAGTGATCCTGAAATCACATTATACCAACTACCGGCCAAGAAGGTAAACCTTATTTAACATCTTTTAGGATGACTGGGAGATAGATAGACATATGGAAGCAGTAAGAGAGATGACTTGCCAAGAACAGCCTTTACTTTCCTAGCAGAGATGAAGTAGGAACTAATCTGGCTGTAACTACAAAAATACATATTCTTGGGTGTTGTCATTGACCAATAGACCCATCTATCTTAACACAATTCTTCTAAGGGCACCTTTTCCCCCATGACATTCTATAACTTTAATATAAATTGTATCTCTTCCCACAGACTTCCTTTAATACTTCCAAATGTATATTCCATCTTTCCAGTACATGTAATTTTGTTTTATTTAATACTTTATGGTATCTTTCTATTTTTCCTTTCTTTGAAGCCCTGGAAGTCTCATATTATTTCTACCTCTGGTAATGGAATTTCTGACAACAAAGTATGTCCCTGGAACACATCCTCTTCAGTATCAGCAGAATAAATATTTTGAAGAAGAGTAAGATACAAGTACAGCTTGGATCTGTAGGTGAAGGAGATAAGTGATAAACAGGATAGAAAAAATACAGGGATAAAAAATGTGAGTATTATAAAAATAAATTACAGCTACTACTCTACATTTTCATGAAAGGCTTCACTAAGTCTATCATAAAATTGAAAAACACTAAAATTAAGGTATTAAAAGAAGCCAATCTAGACCTTATGCACACTTTAACGTAGTACTTTCAGAGAAGAAAAATAACTTACTTTTGAAAAAATTGCTTAACATTTTCACTTTATAACCCTTATCCCTTAAAGTAAATTAAAAGAAGAAAGGATATATTACTCAGCTTGTAGCATAGATTCACCCATTAAGATGGTCTCAATATTGCTTCCTAGCTTCCTCCAGAAAGTTCTCTGTACAAGTCAGATCTGCCCAATTGAACTTATTGACGGAGATGTTGCGAAAATGGTACAAAATAACAGTTTAAGGCTTTTGATCTAGTTCAATCTCATAGCTGTTAGAGGTCATTACATAACGCCTCCCAACAGAATGCCAATAAAATCTGAGTGAAGCTGGCTCAGAATGAAGCAATTAATCTGACTAGTGTAACGATTATGGTCGATGCCCAAGAGTTTGGGATACAGCTCATAAAGCTAGATATTCTCTAAAAACCACACCTCAAAAATAGAGAGGAGTAGACTTAAGGAAAAATCAAGTTTATGAAACTTTCCGCAAAAGATATTAGGGAAATACTGCTCTAAGAGACAGGGAGAAAGGTCTGGGAAGGGGAGAACATTGAGAAAATTAAGGAAAAAACAAAGGGAGTAAGGGACACGTATATAGCCCAGTGGGACTGCTCTGTGCACATATAAAACTGTTACAAGGTCTGTGGATAATTTTAGAAGAATAGTCTACTACAGCCACAACTATAGAATTAAAATCTCAAGATTGATCTTTTTTTCATAATGAGGGAAAAATCTGTAGTCCTCTAGGAAGATGGAGAAATACTGAAACACCAGGGAAATGCAAGCAAGGAAAGTATCAAGTACTTTCATCTCTTCCTTCTAGTTACTATTTCCGAGGGGCCGGACTGCTCCTCAGCTCAGGGGATCCAACAGGAGGAATCAGTTTCTAACTTCCCAACCTAACCCGAGAGGATGAGCTGCCACGCTTGTCCTAATTGGTTGTTATCAAAAGGATACACCAGTTGGGTATACAGGAAAGGCATATCCAGGGCTCCCCGACCTCCACTTGGTTTAAAAGCAGGAAAAGGTAAACTTGGTCATTCGCCCCCGCCCGGGGACTCGGTAAAGGCAGCGGAGAGAGGTGACCTCTGCCCAGAACGGGATGCAGCCTCGCCAGCTCCCCCGGGCTCACCCAGCAGCCGCCGAGCAAAGAAGCTGGCTCCGAAGGCCTCTGGCGCCGCACAACAGCGAGAAGAGGTAGCTCGTGCAACCAGAAACAGCCGTCGGTGCTCTGCCTCCAGCAACGAGCGCCTGCAGCCCGACGCCTGCGCTCAGGCGCGCCTACCGCGCCGACCGTTTGTATTTGGAACAGCGGGTCGGAGCCCGCCAAGCCCCGCGGCAAGACCTTCAAAGCCACGGGCTTCTCAGCGTTCCACGATTCCTCGCCGCAGATTCCACACCGCGTTCGTCCAGACCCCTGAGGAGAATGACACTGCTGAGGGCCTTCTCTATGGCAAGTCCGATCCCAAGTTCCATATGAGAGGTTTGTTTAGTTTTGATGCGCAGAGTGGCTCGGGCTGCATGGTGAAAAACAGGGACTCTACAGCGAATCGTAAACAACGGGGATAAAAATGCTTCTTCTTTACGGCTCAGAACCCAAACGTCACTTCCGGCAACAATAGGAAACGTCAAAACTCGTACAAGTCGGCTGCTCAGGTTGCTGCAGGTTGAGGCGCGCCGAGTTCGGGAGGGATCCAGTGCTGTTTCTGGTATTCTCACAGCTGGCACCTCCACCGTCGTGAACAAGTAAAGTTTGGGCCGGCTTCTCCATGGCCTGGGCTCCAGTTCCCGGCTGAGCCATTTTCTTTTTGGTTCAAAGCCCCCGCCCAGAGGCCGATTCGTCGCGGCGGCGGTGGGGATCACAGGTTGCTCAGGTACAAGCATCAGCCTAGATATTTCAGCGTTCTTGCCTCTTTTCCCTGTACAGCCCTACTTTTCTTCTCGGAAATAAAGGCAGCCGGTGGTTGCCAGTTGGCAGAAACTTGCCAACCAGCAAGACTTTGGGACCAATGACAGTGCAGGGCATCTTGAGTGACAGCGGTGCTGGCTTATTAAAATGAGGAATCTGTGCCAGGAGGCGGGAGTAGGTGTGTTTCTTGTGTTTCTAGGCCATTGAGGTATATAGGTCAGTTTGGGACCCCAGGTTAGTGACTCAGCTTCCTTCCGAAATAAAGCCAAGGAATGGCAAGGATTACTCTCTTGCCCAAGTGTTGCTTTTCAAGTGCGGTGGGTTTTTGTGGGGGGGTTTTGGTGCGTAGGCACAGTTTTCGATTCTTTACATACTTTCCAGTGAGATGAATGCAAACACATACAGTTAAGGTCACAGTGGATTCCCAGTTGCTTCAGCCGTCAAACTTTGGTTATAAATTCGGCAAATTCTTAATTTATCGTCTCTTGTTTGTCTCTCTCTGCCTGGACTCTAGTTTCTTACATGGTGGGTGCTCAAATATTCTTTGGGTCAAATTACGTAAATGAATCTCAATCCTCAGCATTTAAGTTGTTTCTTTGTTTTTTTTAAATTTCAGGCCCTGTATGTGTTTAGTAATTTAATATTTGTATCTACTTATTTTAACAAGTGGAATTTTTATTTTCAAGGATCCTAGGTGTTAATCTCCAAATCTATATATCGTGACCTTTATTACTGCAAAGCGAAACTAATTTATGTTTTCCATTTCAACTTTCCTTCTCTTTCTTTTAATATTTGGATTTCGGTAACCGTGTTTCTGGGATATGAGGGGTTTTTCCCCCTAAGAAAATGGCTTACAAAATTGAGATCTCAGAATGAAAAATAAATTTTATTCTGTTTTTCAGATTGACCAGGGAACTTCCCATTTTTATCAAGTTGACTCTACAGTTTGTCTGATGAGATACTGTGTTATCTATTGCTGAGTAACAGATTACCCCAAAACTTAGCCACTTAAAACAACAAACATTTATTATCTCAGTCTCTGTGGGTCAGAAATTCTGAAGCAGCTTAGCAGAGCGCCTGTGACTCAAGTTCTTTCGTGAGGTTGTAGGCCAGCTGTAGTTGGGGGCTGTGATCTCATATGAAGGCTCCATCCAGGGGGAGGAGGATCCATTTCCAAGTGGGCTTTCCTGGTTGTTGGCAAGCCTGGGTTCTCCACCACATGGGCTTCTCCATAGGTCCACCTCACAGTATGACAGTTGGCTTCCCCTAGGTTGAGCAGTCAGCACCCAAGATTCTCTATAGTCTTTTATAACCTCATCTCAGAAGTGGTATTGTCTGTCAGTACTGCCTTATTGTATTTGTTAGAAGGGAGTCAGTAAGTCCAACTCAGAATCATTGGAGAGAGGATTATACAAGGGCATGAATCTCAGGATGCTAAGGATCTTCTAGAGGCTGCCTAACACAGATAGTCTTGCTGATAACTTTTAGGAATTAATAGGTGGAAATAATTGATCAAAAATGCGTCCTACAGAAATGCAGTCAGACAAGGAGAAGTGACAGGTTGTAAAGAAAGAAACTTGTACAAGCATTCTCTCTCTTGGTAAAGGTTTTTTTTTTTTTTTTTTTGGTCTTTTTTCCTACTAATTATCTGAAGAGGGGCTCTAGGAAACTACCTGAGGGATGATGTGTGTGAGGAATGTTTGTGTTTTTAGGGTGTTCATGAGCAGAGCATATCACAGCTGGAGACTGGATATTCCTTACCTATTGCCATTTTATGTGGTTGAAATTGTATCAAAATAAACATGAGCGAAGATAGCTTTTAAGGAGGAGAAAAGTTAGGAAAGGCTAGAAGTAAGCCGTTCTAGATTAGAAAGAATGCAGGTCAGTGACAGTCTTTATGTTGGTATGAGATCCAATAAGGATGAAAGAGGTGTGTCATAGAATAGAAATGTGTCTTGTATGTCTGTCGTAAGTATTATTAGGTGGCAGGCATCTTCTTTCAGCATTACCTGGCTGTAAGTCACCAGCACAACTTTTGTTAGTGAACCATATACACTTATTGGAATTTAAAGGTACAAGCTTCAGGGTTTGTTGTGACACTCTTTTGTCTGTGATCCACTATAAAATTGCCTGTGCTGCTTCTAGGTTTGAAAGATGTTGTGTATCTTTATCTGTTAGTAAAGTATTATTTAAGTTTATCTTTTATACTTCAGGAGCTTAACCAGCCTGAATGTGTCAATTCTCAAATTGTAAATTTGGCTTTTAAGTCAGGGCTCCCTATCAGTTTAACATAGTTCATTTATAGTAGGTTACAGCCAATAAACTAATGTAGTTTTGGGCCATTAGATGTCTGCAAAGTTTTAACAGATGCTTGAGAAAATAACACAATTGAAATACTTCCACCCACAAAATATCTTATGGTAATAACTGCTACATAAGCTAAAACATGCGTCATAATTTATTATATATGATCAGTTTAATAGGGAATGTTTTGTGTGTTTATTGTGCCTTTGCATAGATTAAAAGATAGTAATTTTCTTCATTTAACAATATAAAAAGATCAAATTACCAAGAGATTATCTTTTCTTTGATCACAGTGCGTTGAAATTAGTCATTAAAATGATGGTTTTGTTACTACCAGCTGCTATGTACAACTATTTTTTTACCTACATCTTGATTCCAATTTGGAAACTGAGGCTAACGTCTTGTCTGGCCTGTGATAAAGCATCAAATCATTAATACTGAAATCTATGAAATATACATTTAACTCATGTTGCTCTTTCATTGAATTATTTTACTTAAAATTTTAAAACAACTTTAAGAAATACATCTACTAGAAACTTGTGTTCCCTGTTTCTTTATTTTTTCTCGTTTTGTTTTTCTGACCAATTTATTGACATAAATTCTAAAATAAAATGAAAACTTCCTGACTTGAATAAGTTTATGTCATATTTGGGGCAAGTATTTTAGTGATACAGAAATGAGAAAAGATATTTGTGGTTTCAAGTTTAGGCAGCAAGTTGTGGGAGTTTAGCTCTGTGATGAGCAGTTCGCGTATTCTTCAAGAATACATTCCATAGAATTTCGTAAGCTGTTTGAATGAAGGAACAAAATTTTAGCAAGAGCCGTGTGTGGAGAGCCCCTGTTTGCTCATATTGAGTAGTGGTTGGTAGAAGTTATAAACCTGGGGAACAGAGAGATGGAAAAGAGAGATTCTATATCCACACATACATACACACCTATCTCCATCACCTCTTCATTTTATTTTACTTTGTAGGATTTTTTTCTCATTTTACAGAATCGTAGAATTTTATAGCTAAACAAAACCTTAGGGATCATCAAGTTTAAAACCCTTGTTTTACAGGTGAGGAAACTGAGACTTCCAAATATAAGGGACTTGCCCCATACAACCAGTTAAGAGTAGGAGCCTGAATCAAATCTATGTTTGTGTCAGTCTCTTTTCATTATTAGATGTTTTGTCACCTCATTTCTAACTTCCCTTGTATTTCAGGTTGCCCTTAATGTTTATTTTATTTTAATACCTTGTCTTATTTCTGTAAAAGCAATTCTGTGAGAATTACAGTTTTTGTTTTGTTTTGTTTTTTTAATTCCACAACTCACAATGGAATGGCCATTGTGGTTAGTGGACATGGAGTGTCATGTGCCCCAAGGAGGTGGGTTTGCATATGCTGCCATGGCAGCTGCTGATTACAGTTGGGTTGAATAAATAGTGCAGTTAAGTAAGAACCAGTGCATTAAAAATAATGCTAGTGAGAAGTATGATAAATTTATTTAAAAGTTAAAAACAGTAGAATGTTTCTTGCAAAACAAGCCTAAGAAATTAAATAAGCCTACAGTTCTCAGCTTTTTGGTTACATTTAAATGACACATTTTAATTTTTACATTTATTTAGATGCCACTTGGTAACACTCATTATAGAATCCAATTAAAGAACCGGAAAAAACCTTCAGAAAACAAAGTAATATTGTAAATCTTTTTGAATTTAAAAAAAAAAAAACAAACTACACATGGTATGCCTTTTAGTAACAAAAACTGCTCTTGCAGGACCAGATCTTTAAATTTAATGACTGGGTGTTCTTTATGTGTTTAATGTACCTTGTGACCTCTTGGTACTTAGCTATTTCCCTTTTCTCCTTAGAAAGACCTCCTTACTGACGTACTCTTCCTTCATTTCTCAACATTTGTTGCTTTTCAATTTTAGGAGTGTGATTGGTTATCAGGTTTTTTCCTTTTTTCCCTTCGCTCTCTGTCTCTCTTTTTTTTTTTTCCAAATTTCTCTTCTTTGTCTGTTCTAAACTGCTTTGGTGGTCTCTCCTTTTGGAAGTAGAGAAATAAACGTTGGGCTGCAAATTTGACTCTAAATGTCATAGAAAATATTTTCTCACTGAATCTCCCATGTTCTTATGCCATTGAGTAATGTCACATGATATCACTTAAAGATTTTTAAAACTTAAAATCATCAAAACTCCAGTTGTTACTTTCTAATTGAAAATTTCTAAAAAAATATAAATAAGTGAATTTCTTCATCTTTTAAGTCTTAGTAGAATTTACATTTTAAAGACGTCTCTTTTGATATACGTTTTATATCTTTATCTGAGATAGGAAATTTCTTAAGATTCCCCTATTTAGGTATTTAAGAAATGTTGAAGAAAACTAACCTTTTATAATGAGTATTTAAATGAGGTTATTTATGTGTCTATCATCACATACCAGTGATTTAACACTGTTTGCTCAGGAAGAGACTTATGGAATTGGTTTGCTTCAAACAAAAGCATTTAAAGAAGAATGCTTTTTTGAGACCTCCAGCCTCCTTTCTAGTCTTCTCATCCTCCACTGTGCATTCTCCACCTAAATTATAAACCATTATTACATATAGTTGTCACCACAGCATGTGCTATTTGAATCTTAGTGCCACAGAATTACTAAAAGCATCAGTGCAGTTAC